GTACTGTATAGTTATATGTTTTTATGTGTTTTATTGTCTTTTGCTGCCATGTGTTCAATGGAGTTTTGCCTCTGTCCTTTTAGATAATTGGATTACTTCCCAATTATCTCCAGGATAGAAGACTCTGTGGAACTGGTTTTGGGCAGAAAAGCCATGCTTCCTTTGGTCACAAAGGACTACGATCTATCTTGTGAACCACCAATTTGGATGATTTTAATATATGTTTGTATTTGGAGTATGCTGATTCTGAATGTGATGCATACTTTTCAAGTTATGAATAATGTGTAAAAATTGTATTTCTCTGCTTGTTATAATTACATTACCCATTGTGTAAGGTAATTGAATCACAGGCAGAGGGGAGGATTTTGTGTGGGAGTGTCTGAGTGTATTGTATGTGTTTATTGGTTGTGTTCCAAAACCCTGTGGGTGGTACTAATGTGTATATAAGAACAAAAAACCCACAGCTCTGACTGTTCACTGCTTGACCCTCAACATGGAGCTTTGTCTCGTTCTTGGGGGGATTTACTGTATGCTGTTCCAGTTTGACTGCTAGGAGTGTAAACCTATTCGTATGGTTTTTTCCTATTCGTCTGTTTACGGCATTCATATGGTTTCCTGTTCGGCGGATTGGTGTTCTGCAGTAGCTGTGCCTGTGTCTCTGGAAGGGAAAATCTACTAAACGGCGGTTTAACCCTTTTATGCCTGGGGTGCCGTTACACCCCCTAGCATGGATGATGCAGATAGGACCGAGGTCTCTGCATCAGCCCTACAGGGATGCTGGGCAGCCTACCCAGATCCCCAATTGCCCATTCCCAACCATGGTCCAGGTGCAGGAGAGGGATATACAGCCTCTACTGACCTCCATCCAGCAGCAGAGCTGGCATCAGGGCAGAGCACAGCTGGCTTCCAGGTTGTTTCCCCGCAGGACACTGGATCTACATCTCTCTATGGGCACTTGTGGCAGGAGGCTGTCTGGACAGCTACGCCTTTTGGGATAGGCCACAAGACTATCACAGACCCAGACCAATTGGAGGTCTGGGGTCTGGATAGTGTCCCCGGGAGGGGCAAGATATGTTTCAAACTCCCTTTTTTACGTGAGTTTGCCATGAGCTCCTGGAGGAGCCTGCTTGCCAGCCTCCTGCCCACAGACTATGGGCCCTGCTGGGAAAGACTACCAAACTTGACCGACTGTTAGCACTGATTTCCCTGGAACTGTTTTGGGCATGGGGCCATGCTTGCAGTCGATCAAAACTTTGACTTCCAGGAAATTCCTGAACCCCTGAACCGATCTGGGTGATTTTATGGGGTTTTGTGTGTTTTTAACCTCTTAAGGACCAAACTTCTGGAATAAAAGGGAATCATGACATGTCATACATGTCATGTGTCCTTAAGGGGTTAAGGTACTTTTTGGGGTTTCATAAAATTGCATGTTTTTTTGTGCTTGGAGATAATTAGATTAGATAAGTACAATTCCTGATTCAATTATCTCTCAAGCACAGAGGAGGGATTCTATTGTTTGTGTATGGGAGGGTCTCACTGTATGACTGTTTTATTGGTTGTTCACTTTGTGTCCCTGTGCCCAACAAGGTCCACCTGGGTGTCGCCCTTGTTGGGAAACTTGCATAAAAGGTCAGTGTGCCTCCATTAAAAGCTATTCCAGCTTACACTCCAAAACTGTGTGTCGTCCTGTTATTGAAGGGGCAGAAGATTTTCTCCTGTGGCTGCTGTTCCAGCTTGCAGGAGATTCAACTGGGAAGGTCGTTGTAAGGACTAGAGCTAATTCCCCATTCGGCTCCAGGAAGGAGCGGTTCCAGGGCCCCAGTCAAGCCACAGCGACTGTGGGCATTAGTGCTGTGGTTTGTCCCCTGTTCCAGCTAGGAAGCGGTCCTTGGCAGAGGTACCCAGCCAGAGGTACAGGGAGCACCTCTACATCACTGTCAAATAATTGATTGCTAGGGAGAGCAGAAAGTACCTATCACGGGCGGTCCGTCTGCTTTCCACCCATAGCAACCACAGCGTATGCGCTGTAGTTGTTATGGTAACTTTCTAGCCAGCACTGCTATAGGACAGACTGATGTCAGATGCCAGCATGCTGGGGATGACAGTGTCATGAAGGAGGTTTATCCTACAGAAATGTAATACCCACCTTTGTAAGGAGATTGTGGTGGGGATTCCCTTTTTTTATCTTTATTTTTGGTTGACATATTGCGTACAATAAGGTTTGCGCAGAAGCCAATGCTTTTGACAGTCATTGTATCGTTGCATAGTATGGATATGACTTGCAAAGGTAGCTATGACAATATACATTAGTGCTGTGTTACATTCTGTAAATGTTTCTTTTTGTTTTAACATTATTGGTGAATAGAGTGAAAAATAATATAACCTTTTAAATGCAACAGTTTCTATTTGTCGTTTGCAGTTCCATCTGTCTTTCGGTTAGGGTCGTTTATAAAACTCCCACTCACTATCCCTCCCCCCCCCAGGGTCGCTCCCAAAGCCTTTTGGTCATGGTTTCTTCTGTAGACTGGTTGCCATGACTGTAACCAGTGTTTTTTCCGGGGAAGCCCCCGATACCTGGGGTTGTGTGTTCTGCTCTCCCTTTCCCATACTGCTCCCTACATTCTCTCCCTCTTTAATGTCTGCTTGCATTTTTTAGTGGTGTGCTAAGGGAGTGCCCTCTTTGTCTAAATGGTGCCTTTGGTGGCCTGTGGCTTATGTGTGCCCTTCTTGTAACGATCTAGGGTAGTAGGATGCTTGTGGTCATGCTTAGTGATCGTATGGTGTTGGATTTCTGACTGCTGACCACATAGTCGGTGGGTGTACTGTGGGTTCGCTGTCGCGGGCCCTGGGTAGTGTTGGTTGGTTGCTGTTATGGTTTCTCCATTTTTCTGAGTTAGTTTCAGGTGTCAAATTGCTCCCACAGCTCCCACACTTTCTGAAAGGTGTTGGTGGTGTTTCTGACCTGTGCTGTTAGTCTGTCCATGAGGTAGTTATCTCTTAGTTTATTTAGTATCAGTGCATTTGGTTCCGGGTTGGCCCAGTGTTGCGCTAAGGCTCTGCGTGCTGCCAGGTAAATCATGTTGAGCAACTTTTGTTCACTTTGTGTAGGCCATTGGTTGGTCTAGATAGGAGGTAAGCCCACGAATCCAGGGTCAGCCATCTTTGTAGGATGTTGGAGCTTAGGTCTATTACCTTTTGCCAGAACGCCTGAACCATAGGGCATTGCCACCACATGTGGATATAACTTCCCCTTTGCCCGCATGACCTCCAGCACAAATCTGTAGTGCTCAGTTTCATTTGGTATTGTTTGGCCGGTGTCATCTACCATCGGAATAGTGTCTTGTAAGATTGCTCTTCTAGGGTGACACAGATGGATATTTTGGCGCTTGCTTCCCAGAATGCTTGCCAATCAGTACCCTCTATTTCCTCTCCCAGGTCAGCTTCCCATAAATCTGTGTATCACAGTTGTCCTTTCTCTCCTGTTTTCGCACTTAGATGTTGGTATAGAAGTGTGATCAGCTTAGTTTGTGATGTTTCGTCGAAGCATAGCTTTTCAAAGAAAGTCATTGGCGTCTTTGCTGCTGACCTGACTTCTTTGGTGTTTGCAAAGTCTTTAACTTGGATGTATCAGAAGTGATCCTGTGTTGCCAGCGTTGCTAGTGTATGTAGGTGCTCATATGTGACAATGTCATTGTTTACGTAGATGTGTATGAGGCGTTGGAGTCCTGTGTGTTCTAACCCAATGAAATCTTGCGCTCTCATTCCTGGGGGGAATTTTCTATACCTGAGCACCGTGGTCATCAGTGATAGGGGGTTCCCTAGATTGTATCTCATTGCTGTTTGATCCCATATTTGGATTGAATTTAGTATAGACGGGCAGGTGGTCCTTAGGAGAGTGCGATGTTGTTTGGGGACCCATATGTAAAATTGGGGCATGTCTGCTCCTGTGAGTAGTGATTTGATCTCTACCCATTGTCTTTGCTCAGGTGGAGATTGCCAATGGATTGAGTTAATTGCTCTGCTAAATAATATTGGTGTAAATTGGGCAGGCCTAGTCCTCCTCTATGTTTAGGGAGGTATAGTAAGTTTCGGGCCAGTCTTGGGCGTTTTTTCTGCCAGAAAAACATGTCTATGGTTTTTTGTATATTAGTGAGGTCTCCTTTAGTGACTTTCAATGGGAGGGCCTGGAAGAGAAACAGTAGTCTGGGCAACACGTTCATTTTAATCGTATGTAGTGGGGATTCCCTTTTTAACATATCTTGGGGCATAGATGTCAGCTGGCAATCCTTTATAAATCTAGGTATGAGTATGAGTTTCTAACACTAGTTTCCTCTTGACTATGATCAGACATTGTGTAACTAGTTTTAGTGTTGGTGTAGATGTTCTTTTGTTCATCCATTGTTCTCACATACCTTTTATATAGCCCCCTCTCATTTTGTCTGCTGTTATATTAGTAAGTCAAGCAGGTCTAGGTTCTCACTTTGAGTGGTCTGTTACAATAGCCCACTTGTCAGATTTTCATGGTAGCATCTGATGTGGACCTCACTAAACCTCATTAACCAATCAATATAGTATGTGTATATAGGTGCAATATGGAAAAATATCACTGCAAATAAATAAGGAAACCGATTAGAAAATTACAAAAATATTTTATTTATTTTTTACTTAGTAGTTTTACATTTCGTTGCATCTTTAACCTCAAGAAAACATTGTACTAATTTTACCAAATGCTTTATTTATCTCTTGATTTTTCAGTGAATAAATGATAGGATTCAACAAAGGTGTCACGGCAGTGTACAAAAGAGAGAGGAATTTTTTTAGGTTTAAGGCATGTTCTTTTGAAGGCGCCACATAGATAATGATTAAGGAGCCATAATACATGGACACAACAGTCAAATGAGAGCTACATGTTGAGAAGGTCTTCTGCCTGTTATCTGAATGTATCCTCAAAATTCTGTAGATTATGAAGGCATAGGATACTATGATACAAAGAAATGGACAGAAAGTAACAAACACTGAAAAGACAAGTGCCAACAAGTGAGCCACTGATGTGTCTGAACAGGCAAGTTCCAAGAAAGGGGCAAGATCACAGAAAAAATGGTCGATATATGGACTGCAGAATTTTAGTTTGGACACACAAATTGCAACTGGCAAAGTTGGAAGAAACCCAACTATCCAAGAAAACACAATAAGGCCTAGACATAGATGATTGTCCATGATGGAAGAGTATCGTAATGGGTTACATATCGCCAAGTAACGGTCATAAGACATCATTGTTAAAAGTAAACACTCAGTAGCTGCAAGAGAACCAAACACATAGTATTGAAATATGCAATTTGTTACTGGTATGCTGCTCTCTTCTGCAAGCATAATATGCAGCATGTTCGGTATAATATCTGTAGACAACAACAAATCAGATAAGGAGAGGTTACTCAGAAAGAAATACATGGGAGTGTGAAGATGACTCATCATTGGGACCAAAATAATGATGAAAAGATTACCAATAAAAATTGCAATGTACCATGAAAGTAAGAAAATAAATAAAACAATTTCGATCCCATTACTACTTTTAAAGCCAATAAATATGAAATTTGTTATCATTGTCTGGTTGAGATTATTCATTGTCTGTGAAAAGAAAATAATGTTTTCAGATTAATACTACATAGATGCAATCAAATATCAAGTTAAACAGAAATAGTCATTGCAAACAAATAGTTATTACATCTATGAATTTGTTGCAACTTTCCAATTCCATACATACATTGCCTTGCAAAAGTATTCATCCCCTTGACTCTTTACCTATTTTGTTACATTACAGCCTTAAATTCAATGTTTTATTAATCTGAATTTTATGTGATGGATCAGAACACAATAGTCTAAGTTGGTGAAGTGAAATGAGAAAAATATATACATAAAACATTTTTTTAGAAATAGAAAACAGAATATTGACATGTGCATATGTATTCACCCCCTTTGTTATGAAGCCCATAAAAAGCTCTGGTGCAACTAATTACCTTTAGAAGTCACATAATTAGTGAAATGATGTCCACCTGTGTACAATCTAAGTGCCACATGATCTGTCATTACATATACACACAATCATTGTTAACAGGAGTAGTCCCAGAAGATTGGAAGTTAGCGAATGTTGTGCCCATTTACAAGAAAGGTAATAGGGAGGAGTCGGGCAACTATAGGCCAGTAAGCCTTACTTCAGTAGTGGGAAAGTGATGGAAACCATGTTAAAGGATAGGATTGATGAACATCTAAAAAACACATGGATTTCAAGATCAGAGACAACATGGGTTTACTTCAGGGAGATCATGCCAAACTAATCTTATTGATTTTTTTGATTGGGTAACTAAAATTATAGATCAGGGTGGTGCAGTAGACATTGCTTACTTAGATTTCAGTAAGGCTTTTGACACTGTTGCACATAGAAGGTTTATCAATAAACTGCAATCTTTAAGTTTTGATTCAAATATTGTTGAATGGGTAAGGCAGTGGCTGAGTGACAGGCAACAGAGGGTTGTAGTTAATGGAATATATTCGAAGCTTGGACTTGTCACCAGTGGGGTACCTCAGGGATCTGTACTTGGACCCATTCTCTTTTAATATTTTTATTAGTGATATTGCAGAAGGTCTTGATGGTAAGGTATGTCTTTTGCTGATGATACTAAGATATGTAACAGGGTTGATGTTCCAGGAGGGATAAGCCAAATGACAAATGATTTAGGTAAACTAGAAAAATGGTCAGAATTGTGGCAACTGACATTTAATGTGGATAAGTGCAAGATAATGCATCTTGGACGTAAAAAACCCAAGGGCAGAGTACAGAATATTTGATAGAATTCTAAAGTCAACATATGAGGAAAGGGATTTAGGGGTGATTATTTCTGGTGACTTAAAGGTAGGCAGACAATGTAATAGAGCAGCAGGAAATGCTAGCAGAATGCTTGGTTGTATTGGGAGAGGTATTAGCAGTAGAAAGAGGGAAGTGCTCATGCCATTGTACAGAACACTGGTGAGACCTCACTTGGAGTATTGTACGCAGTACTGGAGACCGTATCTTCAGAAGGATATTGATACCTAGAGAGGGTTCAGAGAAGGGCTACTAAACTGGTTCATGGATTGCAGGATAAAACTTACCAGGAAAGGTTAAAGGATCTTAACATGTATAGCTTGGAGGAAAGACGAGACAGGGGGGATATGATAGAAACATTTAAATATATAAAGGGAATCAACACAGTAAAGGAAGAGACTATATTTAAAAGAAGAAAAACTATCACAACAAGAGGACATAGTCTTAAATTAGAGGGACAAAGGTTTAAAAATAATATCAGGAAGTATTACTTTAATGAGGGTAGTGGATGCATGGAATAGCCTCCAGCTGAAGTGGTAGAGGTTAACACAGTAAAGGAGTTTAAGCATGCGTGGGATAGGCATAAGGCTATCCTAACTATAAGATAAGGCTAGGGACTAATGAAAGTATTTAGAAAATTGGGCAGACTAGATGGGCCGAATGGTTCTTATCTGCCGTCACATTCTATGTTTCTATGTTTCTATGTTGCACACCTTTTCTGAAAGGCCCCAGAGGCTGCAACACCTAAGCAAGAGGCACCACTAACCAAACACTGCCATGGAAATCAAAGAATTCTCCAAACAAGTAAGGGACAATGTTGTTGAGAAGTACAAGTCAGGATAAGGTTATAAAAAAATATCCAAATCTTTGATGATCCCCAGGAGCACCATCAAATCTATCATAACCAAATGGAAAGAATATGGCACAACAGCAAACCTGCCAAGAGACCGCCGCCCACCAAAACTCACGGACCGAGCAAGGAGGGCATTAATCAGAGAGGCAGCACAGAGACCTAAGGTAACCCTGGAGGAGCTGCAGAGTTCCACAGCAGAGACTGGAGTATCTGTACATAGGACGACAATAAGCCGTACACTCCATAAAGTTGGGCGTTATGGCAGAGTGGCCAGATGAAAGCCATTACTTTCAGCAAAAAACTAAATGGCACATTTGAGTTTGCAAAAAGGCATGTGGGAGACTCCCAAAATGTATGGAGGAAGGTGCTCTGTTCTGATGAGACTAAAATTTTACTTTTGTCCATCAAAGAAAATGCTATGTCTGGCGCAAACCCAACACATCACATCACCCAAAGAACACCATCCCACAGTGAAATATGGTGGTGGCAGCATCATGCTGTGGGGATGTTTTTCAACAGCTGGGACTGGGAAACTCGTTAGAGTTGAGGGAAAGATGGATGGTGCTAAATGCATGGTATACTTGAGCAAAACCTGTACCACTCTGTGCGTGATTTGAGGCTAGGATGGAGGTTCACCTTCCAGCAGAACACACTGCTAAAGCAACACTTGAGTGATTTAAGGGGAAACATGTAAATGTGTTGGAATGGCCAAAGCCCACACCTCAATCCAATAGAAAATCTGTGGTCAGACTTAAAGATTGCTGTTCACAAGCACAAACCACCCAACATGAAGGAGCTGGAGCAGTTTTGCAAGGAGGAATGGGCAAAAATCCCAGTGGTAAGATGTGGCAAGCTCATAGAGACTTATCCAAAGTGACTTGGAGCTGTGATTGCCGCAAAAGGTGGCTCTACAAAATATTGACTTTAGGGGGGTGAATAGTTATGCACATTGACTTTTTCTGTTATTTTGTCCTATTTGTTGTATGCTTCACAACATCTTCAAAGTTGTGGGCATGTTCTGTAAATTAAATTATGCAAATCCTCAAACAATCCATTTTAACTCCAGGTTGTGAGGCAACAAAACACGCAAAAATGACAAAAGGGGTGAATACTTTTTCAAGGCACTGTATGTCACACTTTCTGCTTATGACCCAATACAGTGGACTTCCAAATTCCTTCCGAACCACTGCACTAGCCATATTTATACTCTTTTTGTAGGGCGTGCTTTCCAAATTCTGAATGTGCACAAAAGGAGTCAGGATTATTAAACTGTGGGTTATTTTTTTGTGGATATGAGAATGGAAGACAATGGTCTCCTGAATGCTAATAAGGGGATACAGGCATCTGGTAGATTAGCCAGTTAGTTTACTTTGAAGCTAGATTTAGAGGCAACTAGTGTGTAACATTTCACACCTTACAGAGGAACTCTGGTTGGAGTCACATCTTCAAAAAGGGAATTCATGTTATAAACCTTCTGACATCTGTCATATTACCATAGAATCAAATTAACCCCTGTTAAAGTTGAAATTGGCCATACCACTTCTACAAGGTAGTCAATTCATATAAGCACTACGCAAATCACATTATATATCAATATGCTATAGTGTAACAATGAATTATGCAGCATTGGCATGACACCCTCCACTAGTGTTTTAAGCACCAAGTTCATCATAGTCAGAGAGTCGGCTGCTAGTGATGAAGGATATAACTGTCATGAAGACTCAGTGGGTCTTCTCTTGCAGGAGGGTGGGCATGACTGACTGGTCATGCTGTGTCCTGGCTGCAGGACCAAGAGGGAGTGGAGGTGGTTATGGAGTTGCTGGGGACTGATGAAGGCTTCATGCAACTGAGGAGACAGTCTTGGTGGTGGTAGTAGTGGTATGTGGAGGCTTCACCTACCTTATCAAGGAGCATGAATGATCCTTGGGGCTATATTATGGTGTACTGCCAACCAATATTGGGAGACAAAAGCACATGTGAGGATTATTCAGATGTTACCTCTGACAACCAACACAAGTCTGCAAGTCTGCTCCCTACCTCCTGCAAAAGAACACTTGAACTTCTACTGTTTCTCTTCCCAAGTTTCCATCTCTTCTAGCATACTATTGTACCCACCATGCTATATTTTTACTTTCTACTGCATATTTTCTCTACTCCATTTCTCTTCTCTTTCCATCATTCTACAATCAGTAGCTTATGATATTCTGCAAATGTGTATGTCCTAAGAGCCCTGCAAGGCTTTATCACTTGCCATTAGTCTGACATGAGTTTTCATGCAGCATATTTGTCAAATGCAATATAAATTCATATATATGATATTTATAATGGGACAGTGCACAGTGACACCTGGGGCTTCATCAAAAAGCAAAACTCTGTGAACCCTACCCTAAGCAAAAAGTCAAGGTATGTCACAGCATAACGCCTCTCTGTATAAGACAAGTAGCGGAGTGTTGCACACTGGTATATAGTAGCACCAGAGCTCCACGATAGAGGTCCGTTAACCTCCAAAATACATCCAAAAGTGAAGAGTCACAGGCTGCACAGGGTTGGGTGAATAATCATATGGGTTTATTGCAGAATCAAGGACAAAACAGAGATACGACATTTCGACTGTGAGGCCTTAACCATGTATAATACAAGGCAGTAGAGTGTGCATATAAATACCCAGTAAGTTTGGTCCACCTAACCAGTTCCC